TCCTCTCTCTCTCTCTCTCTCTCTCTCTTCTCTCTCTCTCTCTTCCTCTCTTCTCTCTTCTCTCTCTCTCTCCCTTCTCTTCTCTCTCTCTCTCTCTCTCTTCCTTCTCTCTCTCTCTCTCTCTCTCCTTCTCCCTCTCTTCTCTCTCTCCCTCTCTTCCCTCCTGTTCTCTCTCTCTCTCTCTCTTCTCTTCTCTCTCTTCTCCTCTCCTCTCTCCTCTCTCTCTTCTCTTCTCTTCTCTCTCTCTATCTAGTGCATCCCTCCCAGACTTCGAGCAGCGGGGCGGCTGCCTTCATTCGCATAGGCATCGTCTCTTGGATGATGCAGTAGGTATTGTTTTTTTTTTTTTTTTTCCGCGAAGCGCCAAATAGCAGTCTTCATGTCAGCCGCCCTGAAGAATAAGCTGGAGCCCGGCTGTTCCACGACCCAATGAACACCACATAAATGAGCGACGATCGATAAGATAGCGCATCGACGATTCAGCGCATTACCCTCTGCTACGAACTTACGCGACGAATCGCCCATCGGCCTCTCGCGTGAACGCTTCGATTGCGATCGGCTCATCCAGACCCAGGAGGAACACTGACAAACAAAAAACACAAGACCACCGCTGACGACCCGGAGGATACACAAGATAGCCAGAGCAAATCCCTTGTCGGTATTGATGTCCATATGACCGCCGTATTCCACATCGATTGCTGCGCGCTGCAGACCTGCCGTCAAAGCCCATTTCGTAATCCGCGCCCTACCGGCGCAAACGTCCACGAAGTCCAAGTTCCCGATGACTACTAGAGGGCGCTCATTGCAACCAATAATTTGTTGAATGCGACTAGTAATATGAAATAGGATATTCATCGGCACTGTCCAGATGTGATTCCCCCACGCAGGCTGCAGAGCCAACGTTGGCATAATACTCCACAGCGCGTAGCTGGCGGTCTCGGACCAAAGGGGGCACTTGAAACATTCAATTAGCATTCGCATGGCAGAGCATTGCCGCGACAAGCAGCGCATCTTCCCATTGCATGGCATGCCATAGCACGCTGGAAGACAACTTGCGATTCAAATGTGACGCCTCCAAAATTCTCCTCGTGCTCACCCTCCTCATCCTCATCCCCCCCCCTCTTCCCGTCGAGCATCTCCTCGTCCTCCTCATCGCCCTCATCTTCCCGAAGGCGTCGCTTCCCCGGAGGAAGAGGGGGGGGGGGCGGGTCGGGTGGAGGAGGACGAGAGGATGAGACGAGGAGGATGAGACGAGGGGAAGCAGGAGTCGATGACAAACACGACGATGGGAGAAGGAGAGGGAGGCGAGAAGTAGGACTCGGAGGGAGAAGGAGGAGGGGGAGGAGGGGAAGAGGAGGAGGAGGAGGATGGGGGGGGGAGCGAGAAGGAGGAGCGGGAGGAGCAGGATAATGAGGAGCAGGCCACGGTTCAGGAGGAGGAAGAGGAGGAGGAGGAGGGGGATGGGGGGGAGAAGGAAGGGAGGGAGGAGGAGGGGGGAGGAGGGGGAGGATAAGGGCGAGGAGGAGAAGGAGGAGGAGGGAGGGGGGATTACAACAAGGACATGAGCAGTAGTTCCCCTTGAAGCTCCCAGAGACGTGAGATGGGCACTGCGACGCCTCAGCTCCTCGAGAGGCATGTCGGGGAAGCCAGGGTCCACAATTGTTTCCCCCCAGGCGCCATCTGCCCCAGGGCACAGCGCGCGCAGCGCGCAGAAAAAGCAGACACGGACAGCCATACTTGGGGGTGAAGCGGCTGCGAAATGGCGGTGGCGGTGGCAGTGCCGATGTTGCTACCGATGGCGACGACGCCTCCCGACGATGATGCTGGTGGCGGTGATGGCGACGACGATGATGTTAATGGTGGCGATGGCAACGAGATCAGTAGAAGCCCACCGTGACCCCCTGGGGACTACTATATTGCAGGCTGTAAAAGAGCAGGCGCCCGCGCTTGCAGCGGCCCCGGGTTGCCCAGGAAGGCCGCTTGCAGGCTCCAAGAGGGCCTGGGGGCCCAAGAGGGCTTTCTTCTTCTGGATGCTATTATTCCGCCCCAACATCTACACGTGACATTCTAAGAGACCGTTGCCACAGCTTATTAGGGTTCATTCGGCCTCGGATGGAGTTTGATTTGATTTGAGGAAGACCTCGGGTTCAAGGAGAGGGGTCGTGACCCCCCCTCCCCTTCGCGCCCCGAAAGCAGAGGGGTGACAGAGGACAGACAAAGGGAGCACCGCATCAGGCAAGCGTCTCACGCAGGCGAGTCCATCCAGAAGCGATGCTTCGCATGTATTTTCCGTCTCTCCACCGCCCCCCCTCTCGCGTTCGACGCTCGAGCCCACCTCGCGTGGGTGATCCGAATTTGACCTCTTGCGAGCCGCCTTCTTCTCATGGCTGGTCGCGCCTGGCACAGCGGGCTCATCAAATGGGGGCCTCAAGGGAGCACCGCTGTCAAGGCCTAAAGAAGACGAACTGTAACGGCCAGTGCCCATGACGCGGACCTCACTGCGCCTCGCACCAAGTGCCCAAAGATCTGGGGCCAGGACTCTTAACAATGGAACAATATGAGATCAATGGCCCCCCAACCTCTCCCTTCCCTCTCCCCCCCCTGGGGCCCCTGAGCCCGGAGTCCCTGAGCCAGGCATAGCCTTGAGCCATTGGGGCCCTTGAGCCCCTGGAACCAGGGGTTTCGCCCACCCCCCCTCCTGGGGCCCCAGAGCCCCTGAGCCAGGCGTAGACCTTTTGGCTCGTGGCTCAACCTCTTCCGCTCCGCCCTCGCGTTGTCAAGGGCTTGTTGCGCGGCGATCCGTAGCTCGAGGTCTCTCTGGTCAACTGCGGGATGCCACCCCTCTGGACAACGCGGCCCAGTTGGAGTTGGGGGCGGGACAGGATAGGGCGGTTTTCAGGAGCATCACCAACACGCCACCCCCTTACCCCTTCCCCTAGCTCCAACCTGGCCGCGTCATCCAGCGCCGCCGAGAGGTCGGGATCGAAACCAGACTCGTTCTCCAGAATCGCGCGGTCTGAAGGGTCCATCGTTGCCCGGGTGCCGAAAGCATCTCCGATTTGGCGGGGTGAATGCGGCGGATATTTCCGAGCCTGAAAACCACGGGAGAACAGGCAAGTTAGGAGGGCGGATGAGGGATTACTCCGCCGACGTAGCCGACGATGACGGCGAGGGCGACGGCGAAGACCACGAAAACGACGACGACGTGGCCAGGCTACCCCAGCGAGCCCCGCCAGCCCTCTGGGCGTAGGTGGTTTAGGGGGGTTCCTCTTCCACCCCCTTTGTTTCCCTTCGGGGAGGGGTTCACCCCTCCCCCCTACCCCCCCCCCCTTGGACCTGGACGGGGCCGGTCGCGAGCGGTCAGGGCGCCCATAACGGCGCCGGCGAGGAAACCAACATCATCGGTTTTACTATGGTTTTGGCTCCATTTTGGCCTCTTGAGGGGGGGGGTAATTAACTCCACCCTCTGCTGTGATCGATCGCTTCCAGGATGGCCCCGAAGGGCGCCCGGGAGGCCCCCGGAGGCTTCCAAGAGGCCTCCAAGAGGCCCCAAGAGGCCGCCATGAGGCCCACAGATGCCCCCAAGAGGCTCCAAGAGGCTCCCAGGATGGTTCCAAGAGGCCTCCAAGAGGCTCCAAGAGGCCGTCACGAAGCTCCAAGAGACCCCCAAGAGGCATCAAGAGGCCTCCAACAGGCCCCCAAGAGCCCCCCAGGAGGATCACAAGCGGCCTCAAGAGGCCCCCCCGAAGCACCCAAGACGCCCAAGAGCCCCCATTGACCGCCAAGAGACCCCCAAGACGCCCGAAGAGGCTTCTAAAAGGCTTCCAAGAGGCATCCGAGCGGCATTCAACCATCCGCCCAGCGTCATCATTGTCCTCGTTCCTCCTTCGCTCGGTTCTTCGCCACCCCCTCATCTATCCATCTGGCCTCCTCTTCCGCCTCATCCTTTGCACGGATCGGCTGCCCCTCCCGTTGGTCCCCCACTTTTTTTTTTTTTTTTTTTTTTTTTTTTTTTTTTTCTTTTTTTTGTTTTTTTTTTTTTTTTTTTTCCCCCCCCCCTCCTCCCCCTTATCCCCCCCACTTCCATGATTTCTTCAACTTGCCTGGACATATCGTTTCTGGATGGGCTGGTGGGATGCGCGAAGCGTCAAGAATTTCTCGACACCCCAAGATGGTGCCGTCAAGCTGTCCAAACGCAGCCCATGACGGCCTCCAAATGTGCCCCGAGACGGCTGGCGTTTGGCCTAACAGACATCCAAGACGATCCAACATGATGGCCAATCCCTCTCGGCGCGTGCTCGTGGGCACTTATGCGTCTCCATCGCCCTGGACGCACCGTCGTCGTCGCCGTCGCCGTTGTTTCGCATGCTTGCCGTCGCCATTGTCGTCGTTATCTTTCTGCACTTACTCCCTGCATGCTGCTGCACTTCCATGGTCAGCATCTTGCATCGTGTTGCTGGATGGGTTGCTGGGATACGTGATCACTATCATGGCGTTGGCCGTCATTGCTGATGCTTGGTTGTCTGATTGGATCCTGTATTTCGATATTTTCTTGACTCTCCTGATCATCCTGATCCTCCTGACCCTCCTCTCCCTTCTCTCCCCATCCTCTCCCTCCTCACCCCCTCCTCTGTTGTTGAGAGTCTGCGCGTTTCTCACAGTTCTGCCATTGCTCAGAGCTGGTGCACCAGCAAGCAAGTTAAGTTCAGGCGTCTGGGACGCAACATGGAGGGCAGACTGATGTGCCAGAGCATGGAAGGCAAGCGCAACTCGCTTGCGATAAATAGCAAGTTAAAACACACTCGGAAGAAAACCCGAATAAGACAGCACCACATATCCGATGTATATCCGCAGGCATGAGATCTTGCCCACGGTTGGGCCACATGAGCTGAGCAACAACAACAATTGTTGGAGTCGGACTGAGATTATACTGAACTTGTATTTCGGGGGGCTTGGGTTGGAGAAGCTGGGGTGGCGGGGGTCTAAACAAACAACAACGCCTACTTATTAGACCACTGCGCCAGCAAGGCCTGCAAGTCCTCCGCTGGGCCTGCTACATCAGACGAGGCATCCGCCTTGCCTTTCACCTTCCCCGCCTCCCCAGCGGATCCCTCAGCTCCAGCAGCAGGGCTGCTTCCTGCTTCGGCCTCGGGGGTCTCGCTGCCCTTGGCCCTGGCCTTTGCCTTGGCCTTCGGGGTCGGCGTGCCCTCCAAGCTGGCCAGCATCGCGTCGACTGAGGACCCAAGCGCAGTCCTCTTCGCCTCGGGGCTGATGAGGTCCGAGTCGCCAGCGCTCCGCTTCCGCTGCATCTCGCACAGCTTGAGGCGCTCAGGCTTGCACTTCTCCAGGCGCTCGTCTTTGTCCGCTGGGAGGAACCTGCTTGATGCGGGCCCAGATTTCTGGATCTCGTCGAGCAGGTGCGCACGCAAGACGTCGCTCAGCACTTTGACGTGAGCTTCGTTATGACGCACGACTATCGATTTCACACTGAGCATGAACGCCGCCTTGATCATGTGCCCAGCCCCCGGAGTGAAATTGATCAACACGCGGGCCCCGGCCTCCCACAGAAATTGAGCGCACACCTATGCGATGCAAGCCCCCATCAATCTTTAGCCAGACACCTCATCATCCTCATCTTCCTTATCCTCATCCTCCTCCTCTTCCTCCTCATCCTCGTCCTCCTTGTCATCCTCCTCATTCTCCTTCTCCGACCCCCCCCCCCCCCATTGTCTCGATGAGGAAAGGATGGGGGAGAGGGGGGGGAAGAGAAGGATTATGATGAGGAGGAGGAGAAGGAGGAGGAGGAAGGAGGAAGGAGGAGAAGAGGAGGAGGAGGAGGAGTCAATGACGATGGGGCTTTGCATATCCTCGCAGGCGCACCCTCAAGTGCAGCTCCATCCAGAACAGGACGACTAATGTGGCAGTGCCGCCGTTGATCGCCTCCAGGGGGTCAACTGCTGTATCTTCAGGTGCCTCGTCGTCGTCATCGTCGGACAGGTCCTGGCCCTTGGCCGCCTTCGCCCCAGGAGTCCACTTCTCCGAGCCGCACACGTGCTTGAAGACTGCCTCGCGGTCGGAATACGATACCTTTACCATGCTGTCCTTGGAGACCACGGGAATGCCAGCCATTGTCCGGAATGCCGTGTTCCCTGGGACGAATCGCCGAGGGAGTCCTCTTTTCGTGTCCATGGCGCGCTTGGTCTTCATGATGTGCAGGTACTGGTCGGTGAGGTCCACGGTGCCAACTACGCTGCTCTCGACGCGGAGGTGTTGCGACACCTCGCCCTCGTCTGGCAGCATCTCCAACTCCTTGACCGCGAGCTTGGGCTTGCATTGCATCACCATCTTCTTTGCGGCACGATGGAATAGCTTGTTGCGGCCGCTGACGATCACGGCGGAATCTGACTCATTGATGAACGACGCCACGATGTTGACCATCTGGTTGATGTGGTCCTCGTCTGGCGTTGCCTTCATGCGCCACGCAGATGCTTTGTTGTTGGGGTCCTTCGTGGAGTCGGTGCCCGCGTTGAAGAACCACAGGCGCGAAGCCCCTGCTGCAATCATCGGCTGCTTCTCGATATCAGCCAAAAGGGTGCTTGACCACTTCATGAACACGACGTTGGCCTTCAAGAATTCGTCCGCCATTTTCAGTAGTTCGTTTTTTGTTCTTGTCTTCGAAGACGTTTCTCAACGACTTGGCCTCGTCTTCGGTAATTAACCCGCTGGCCTCACAGCTCATAGCCACGTCGAACTCTTCGCGCTCGCCCTGAACCGCGCGCTCCTTGGCCCTGCGCTCAGCCACGTCCACCTGGTAGAGCTGATCCAACTCGGGCAACATGTCCTTGATGAAGGGGACGGCCAGAGCAGTGGGGTGCCCGAGGAATGCCTGAAACTTCTTGTTGAGCATCGTAGGGAGCAGGATCTCTGAGTTCAGCTTCTCCGCAGTGCCCTCGCCAAGGATCGGGTAAGTGTGGCTGACATGTAACAATTCCTTGCCATCAAAATCCAAACCTGATGGGTACTCCTTGTGGAATGTCTTCAGCGTCTTGTAGACGGACAGCACCGACTCGAACAGAGGATACCGTGGCAACAGTGAAGAAGGACAGTGAAGAAGGAACTTTCGTCATAATCAGGATGGCCTTGGCGGTCTCAGGGGCGTGCCTGCCGCTCGCCTTCACGTTGTATCCGCGCAGAAGCATGACATGATAAGTCTCCGCCAGCACGCGTAGGTCTCCAAGGTCTGGAACTGCGCTCTGAAATGCATCAAAAGACCTGCCCGTCTCCTGCATAGTAACATTCGGATGCTTGCGCCCCCAGATCTCCTCGTTGCGGTCGAAGTAGCACAGGGCCGAGTCCTTGTAGGCCGGGGCGCCGACGTCGGCAACTGCCATCGACAGGCGTCTGAGGATGCGGAGGTGCAGCCTGATGTTGTACAAGTTCATCGTAGTCTCCTTATGCGCCCAGGTGATGCCGCCAGAATTGAACAGCTCCTCGATCGCCGGGGGCGTGCTGCTCTGAGAATTCGAACGAAGAACTTCTTGGAGCCCTGCTAGCTCGCGCGCTCGGCCAAGGAGGGAGTGGCCCAACAACTCCGCATTCTTCTCTTCGTCCTCCTTATACTGGTATACCTTCAGCACGCGCTCGTTGTCATTGTTCCGCTTCGTGAACTTCATCGGGACTTGCATTGCCGCTTCCACGATCTTGGCGAGCTTCTCTTCTTTCTCCTGCACGTCGCGCAACAGCATGAGCCAGGCCAAATACAGCGAGCCCAGGCTATCGCGCTGCAACTTCCGCACCATCTCCGGCGCCAGGGTCTTGTAGAAGCTGACCTCGACGATGTGGCCAGGCGGTGGGAACGCGTAGCACCCTTTTTCCTGGTAGTAATGCTCGTACGCCTTCTCTACAGCACCCTCCAATGGCCACGCTGCTGGCAGGGTCATCGAGCACATGTTCAAGACCTGGCGGAATCACAAACACGAGACTAAAGGAGTGGACGGAGGGTTGGACGGAGTGCGGGGATGAGAAGGCGGCGAGAGAAAGGGGGGAGATGGGGGGGGAGAGGAACACCCTCTGCCCTTGCCTGCTCATTTCCTCCTGAGCTCGCTGTTTCCACCGCCTCCTCTTCCTTGTCTTCCACCTCTTTCTCTTCCTCCTCCCCCTCCTCCTCCGACTTCCTCGGCAACCATCCTTCTCATCATCTTCCTCTGCTCCTCCTCCTCCTCCTCCTCCTCATCCTCCTCCTCCGCCTTCTCCCTCTCCTCCACTTCTGTTTCGCATGTTTTGGGGTAGGTGATGGGTTTTGATGCACCGTGGCGACCCATATCGGCAGGGACATGGTGAAATCAGCATTCTTCTGCATGATGCTGTTCACCGCGTCATTCTGGACCCTCTTGAAGTTTCTCGCAGCCAGCGTCGCGAGGCTTGTCACCCACTCTGGTTCTTGGCGCACATGCGCAGGGCTCGTCTCATCCCCGTCGCCCCCCATGGCTGCGCAGAAGCAGGCAAATCTCGCGCAGAGCGACACCAACCTCATCGCTGAGCCGTAAAGCCTGCAACTACTGAAGGGGGGCCGGAGGGGCGGCCTGAGGGGGAGACTTGGGGGGACCTTAGCATGGGCCTTGGAAGGGGGACTGCCATGGCTGGGCCTTGGGGGGACTTCGTTGGCTGGGCCTTGGGCCTTAGTGCAGCCTGGCTAGACTTGCATGGACCTCGGAAGGGGGACTGCCACTGCCACTACTACTGCCACTGCTACTACTACTGTTACTGCCACTATTACTGTTACTGCCACTATTTCTAGGAGGTGGAGGGGACTGCCACTGCCACTACTACTGCTACTTCCATGTTCCTGCTACTGCCACCGCTATTGCTACTGTAAGAAATTGCTGCTGCTACTACTACTGCTACTGCTAGTGCTGCTGCCATTGTAGGTGTTAGAAGGGGCGGAGTCTGAAGCGCGCGTGGAGTCTGAACAGGAAAATCCTCACATTTATTACTATTATTATTATTGTTATTATTATTATTAGTATTATTATTATTATTCGTCTTTTTCTTAGTCTTGTTCATATTATTATTGTGAGCGGCAAGGGGAGCCAGGGGCCTCCAAGTAAGAAAATCATTAAAAAGTAACCCCAGAATAAGGCCAAAGTAACTTTTATATATGTTTGCAACCTAACGGAAATATAAGCATACAAGTAAGCCAACTGCAACAAGACCCTGGGCACGCGCCCAGCAGGAAAGCGCGACGCCCCTCCCGACGGAGGCGACAGCCCTAGATAGAGATAGGAAAATATCCAATCCAGTTGTTTGCACTGCTCATGCAAATCAAAACCACCAGTCCGCAAAATTAGATGAAAGTAAAAACAAAAACTAAAAAAGTTGTTAATCATATTCCATATTTTCGATAAAAAATTCATTTATTATAATATATTTTAAAATTTAATTAAAATTAAATATAAAAAAAATTATAATATTTTTAAAATCAATAAGCATTTCAAAAAAATATCTTTTTAAATAATATAATATTATAAATTAAAAACATTAAATATTCGATATTACATTACATATATAATAGATATATGTTCAAAGTTCAATAACGATTTTCTAAAAATTATTAAATTACCTATATTTTAAAAAAAAAAGATTTCAATTTTATTAAATAATTATTTATTTTTTAGTTATTAAATATTCTGACATATCATGCATTCGGTCGCGCCGAACATATACATAACAAGACTTTGATAGGATACAGCGCACTCTAAGCCCATCTCGACCGCGCACCAAAGGCCCCCGCGGCCAGAACTCCCAAACAAGCGGAGCCGTTCTAACGCGTTTGCCCACGAGGGCGCGGCTCGCGCCGCACTTCGTCGGCCCATCAGAAATCGATCGAACAAGTTCGGACCTCCTGCGCGCCGCGGCCTCAGCGCCGATCGGGGGCGCCTCGGGGTCGGCGGCGGCGCCGCGCCCCGCAAGGGCCCATATGTGGGGGCGAACGTCCCCAGACACCCAGCGAGCAAACCGCCCTCGCTCGCCCAGCAACTCCACTCCACATCCCCCCATTATCCTGCCCTTCTCCCCACGTCGTTCCGCCCCGCCCTCTGCCGCCGAACCCCCGCGAGCCTTCCGCGCTTCCCCGATCCTCCCGCCCTCCACCCTCCACTCCTCGATACAGCCACCCTGCTACGCTACAGTCGCAATCGTCGCGCTGTCGCCGCGGGAGGAATGGAGAGGCGGGGGGGCGGAGGAAGGGAGAGGCAGGGGGAAGATGACGGAGCAGGCCCCCGCGGGAGGAAGGGAGACACTGGGGGGAATGGCGGGGGAGGCGGAGAAGCGGATGAGACGAGCGAGCGGGGGATCGGAGGCAGAAACGAAACCGCGCTTGCTGTATCAACATCTCATGGGTAATAGACCGCCCAATCCTGGGCGGACGGCCTGCGCCCGAGTCACGGGCGACGCGCGAAAGGGCGCGGGGGGCTGCGCCGAGCAAATCTAGAGAGCATGGCACAACTGTCGCGTGATGACGCTCGCTGGCACTTTGAATCGCGAATATGTCGTAACATGCCCTTGGGCAGGGAGAGGGGCAATATTTGCTCGGCGCCTGCCGCGCCCCAGAACACAACTGCAAACCTGCGTGTCCGACCCCCACTGCCGACCGCCAAGAGGGCCTAGCTCGCCTTTTTCTGCAGGGCGCTCACAACCCTCGTCAGGATCAGCTAGTGGAAGGCGTCCTTCTCCTTGAGCTTCGTCTCCGCCCTCCACGCCTTGACCTCTGCGGCGACGACGTCGCGGAGGTCGTCGAGGCACATGTCGCTGCTGCACTTCTTCATGAGCACACCGTAGGCCTTCGTAGTGGCGCAGTCGCGCAGGACCTGGCCAGCGTTCATGGCGAGCGTGTCGTCCAGTGCCTTGCCAGCCATCGCGACTGAGTTCTTGTAGTTCGCCGTGGCCTGAGAGATTTTGTGTTTCATCAGGGGAGCTACCCGCCGCCCCTCCCCCGCCTCCCCCGTCGCCTCAAACCCGCCACCCTCGATCCTCATCATGTTAGTCACACTCCCCTGCTAACCCCTCCCACCCAACCAATCGTCGCCCACGAATGCAATACCCGCGAAATGTATTGCATGCATTTGCAAAACGTCAGCGGCCTCAAGGAGCTGGCACTTCAAGGTCGCCATCTGCTGCGGGCTGGTCTTGAGCACAGTCTCGTCGGCGTGCTTCTGCAGGTCCTTGAACGTATTCCCCTTGAACGTCTCCAGCCGCGACTCCGTCGGGTCCGTGGCGCCAGGAATGCCCGTTGCAACCAAGGCGAGATCTTGAATTGCAGTCTTCAGCACACGCTCGTCTGCGTTGGCCTGCTGGGCGGTCAGCTCGAGGACGAGACTCTTGACTTCCTTGCTGAAACCGGCCCACCTGTGGAAACGACGGGTATCCTTCTGCATGATGTTTTTGAGCTGCTCCTCCAGCGCCATAATGTGCCGCTGCATCGGGTCCATTTTGTTGCGGTAGTTGTCTGAAGCTGTGATGTCCTTCTTTAGCAGGTGCCCACCGTTGCCGTCACTCCAAAGGCTAATCCATGACCTCCTGGCCGTAAGATACACACCCAACATCTTCGCTTCCTCCTTCGCCATGTCGGAGCCCTCCACGGCGCCCATCTTGACGCTCAGGTCCATGCTGATGGCGAAGAACTCGTTGTCCAAATCAGACCTGCTGCAAATCTGCTGGGTGATGAAGTCGAACACGCCACCGACGCGCGCCTCGACAATGGGCCTCTGGTCGTCCTTCCACTTCATCGCCTGCGCAGGTTCTGGAATGGAGCCCCGAATGCGGTTCAGAGCGTCCATGGTCTCATCGGTCAGGTCGTTCTGCTCGGACAGGTTCAGATCATTGGCGTCACTGATATCGCGGAAGATGCGGGCGTTCATATTCTCCGCACTGACGCTGGCAAGCTTGGCAGCAACCGCGGCCCTCCAGTCCTCGATGCTAGCGTGGCCCGACATGCAGAGGCTCGCCTCCTCTATGGCCTTCGACCACTGTTGCATGGCAGCGTGGTCGCTGGTAGGTTCGGACTCCATGAACTCATGATGCTTCGCAAAGGCCGCGTAGAGGCTGTTCTGCAACTCGTCCAGAGATCCCGACCTAGGGCACTCGCGAGCCTCAGCAATGAATAGAGCTGCATCCTTGAGAGACGTACTGTTCGTCAGCGTGGGGGTCCTCCCGCCCGCAAGCATATCATTGTACTTGCGGAACATAGGGGCGTGCTCGATCATGCCTGGCAGCTTCGCCATGTACTCCGAGAGTCTGGCCTTGAACCACGTCTCATCGCTGACCGCAGCCGCCACCATTACCAAAGCAGTCTTGTGCGTCCGCCCCGTCGACTCCTTGATCTTCTGCACGGAATCCTCTGGACGTGCGGGCATGGCAGCAAAAGGGAAAAACACGAATTGCCGCTACGACCCAGGAACATCCCCTAGCTACCCCCAAGAAAATCAGACCCCATGGGCACTACCCCACCCAAGACAAGCACCACCCTCGTTACATATATTCTAAATGTTGGCGGAACGGCGGGGGCCTGGGAGGCCAGCCCAGGGGGGGACCGAATCAACGCCGCTCCAATCTGGCCAGATCGACGATACCGCTATCAAAAACCAAAGCCCGCTCAACACCACCCAGCACCTGCAATGATCTACGATGCCCCGCACCCTCGGAGACTGGGCCGAAGTGGCGGGCAAGTGGGCGCTGTCATACTCATGAGGTTTGGAGTTCACGGTCCTTCAAGTCCATATAAATCGTTGAAGTGGCCAGCGCCTTGATCCCCTCCCAGCAGTCCATCATGTCTCCCAATGCCCCGCTGGCTGTTCCGTCCAGCATGACCAGGTCAACGTTCTCGTAGGCATCAATGAACGTGTCCACCATATTCACCACGTGAGCCTTGTTCTCGACGCCGATCCTTATGGCGGGGACGAGGAGCTTCTCAATCAGCACGTGCACCATCACCGACATCTTGTGGTCCATATCCACTGGCAACGACACCAGCGTGGGGTTCAAGGGGTCGAAATCTGGGACTCTGGGACGGCAGAATCGTCCTTGGGCCAAGGTGTGATGCACTCGATTAGCTTGCCGAGGTCGCGGGTCTTCTCCAACTCAGCGAGGCTGAGGTTCAAGAGAGTCTCCTGGGCCACCAGGGGCCACTGGACGTCCTCGACAACCAGCAGCTTGATCAACTCATCCTTTTCGGCCTTGGTGTGCACGCGGATTTTGTCGGTCTGCAAGTTCTGGGCGGCAACCACGATCTTCAAGAAGATGTTGATAATGCTTGCATCAGTCGCGCTCGCGCCGCCCATCTGAGCGAGGCGGGACGCGGCCTTCTTCGCCGCCGAGATCGTCCTCCCATCCAGGGTGTTCTCGAGGACCCTCTCCAGGGGGATCTTCCTCTTCCAGTGCGTGAGGACGTCCAAGCAGCCTGGGGGGGAGGGCCATGACTATACAGGAGGT